CCCCAAAACCCCAAAACCCCAAAACCCCAAAACCCCAAAACCCCATCTCATAATTTCATGGTTGAAATCATCTCGTAGAGGCTCACTAGACATATCGGCTTATCTTCATTGCTATGCGAGCATGAAGAGAGATAACCTAAGTATAAATAATTCTTCACAACTCTAAATTATGATTATTCCTTGATCAGACCTGATTACAAAAGCAAAATTTATAAACAACTTTTTGTCAAAGAACTTTTTAAAAGAATTTTTATATGGATGATAAACAAGAAATTTAAATCTTGTCTACAAATTAGAAACCATGAGATTTAAATCAGCAACATCAACGATCATCCTATTCAGTCTCATCAAGATCTCAATGTCTCTGTCACTGAATCCATCTCTTATCTTCTTTTCTCTAAATTAGCATATAAGAAAGCCCTCCTAAATTATAACGGCTTGAAATCGAAAGAAACGAGATAAATACTTCAAGTTTGGAAAAATTCTAAACAAAATTTCGTAGCTTCGGTACTGAAAAGATAATTTGAAAGAAAAATATTTCGATTTGGGCTAAAATAACCGATCAAAACTCGAAATATTAAAATTCATTTTTTGTTTAAATTTTCAAACGGTCGTCATGTAAAATTTTATTCATTATTTTCTCCATTAATTTACCCGTTCTAATAAATCAAAACTTTGTTTATCACAATATTTCCCGCTTAATCACCTAACCCACCTAGAAATTCCGTCCCAAATCCAAAAATAAACAAAATCCTGCATATCCAAACCCGAATCCCCTTCAAACTCACTCAGTTTTCTTAATAAATCTCAAATTCCTCCTTCCTCACTCCATCCCTCCTCTTCCCACTTCAACCCCCTTCACTAATCCACTTCTTCTCTCTATACCTCCATTAACCCCTTCCACTCCTACCTCCAGTCCACTCCTTCCTCACAACTCCACTGCACCCCATCTGCTTCTCCTCTTCAGTCCTCATAAAACTTCTAAATCCCTCGTTCATCTCCTCAGCCTTTTACTATAATATTCCTAAAATGTCAACATTTGTACTACAAATGGGGTTTTGGGGTTTTGGGGTTTTGGGGA